ATAGCGGCAGAGCAAGTCCAGGGGCAAGTCGTTTGTTCCTGTCTGCAGGCAAATGAAAGCAATACAACATACTGTACAAAATAGTTAGCTGGCTACTCGGAACTATATGGGCTTCCCTCTACAGAATGGGGGAGAAACAACTGCTGCTGTACATTATCCAGTCTGTTGAACACAGTATTTTCTATTGATTTTAGCAGCTTCTTATTTGCTGACTGCTGCCTAAGCTCCAGTGAAGGGAGACGTTAAACACGGGAAGGTTTCCAACCCCGGCGAGTTGAGGTTATTAGGAAATGGCTGTGAAGAACAAAACTGATCCTTGTTCCTTTACTCAAGCCCGGGGGCACGCAGGCCCTCAGTTCGCTCCCAGACATCGTAGGCTTTCCACACTTGGTTGACCAACCCCTGGGTATCAAAATGACAACTCAAACATGTAATTTCTGGCGTTTCTTCTGTGAGACATACTTGAGACATACTCTTGTCTTTCAGGATTTACACTGTCATTTCCAAGTCACCATTTGATACTGCAAACACCAGCTTGCTCACAAGAAGCATCAGACATATTCTGTGCAAAACCAATGTTCTCCTCCTTGAATTTYTTCCAAAGGGGTATCCTAGCAAAATTTGTAAATGTTGAGGCCACACATCAAAGAACTTCTGTTGTGGTCATGCATCTCCTTTTGAGTCTTCTCTGTGCACTTAATAGTCCAGAATTTCATGTTGGAGTGCTCTGAAACAGAAAGCTCCTTGACAGCTCCTCCAGGTGTTTGTGTGTGTTAAATTTTGAAGATGTTTTTAATGCTTGTTTCTTCAAGAGAGTTCTTGAAATCACGTTTTGGGGGGAAAAAAGGCATTTTTTTTAAACCTGGTAGGTAGAACGTGGGAGAAAACTGAGAGGGAACTGGTGAAGAGTGTAGAGGTGCTGCAGTGAGTGGTGATTCTSTGCAAAGGATCACAGAGTGCTGCTGCAGCCTGCTGCTTTGGAGGGTTTTTATGTTGAAATATTCTGTTGGACAGTCCAAGATCTTGGATAAGCAACATCTTGGCTGCTTTTTGTTGTTGCTGTGTGTGTGTGTGTGTGTTGTTCTCTTTATTTAAAAGATGGTAGGAAAACCAAGGAGCAAGGAGCGATGCTCATCCTAGGATACTGATGGATTCTAGTTGCAGATGTAATGGTGTTTTGTCTTTTGGATTTTCTCCTGCAGCTTCTCCACAGTATTTTCTGTCTGTGCTATTTTGTGATGTTGCTGCGTAAATCCAGCGTGAGGTCAGAGGTGGTTGGGTTGCATTGCTGGATGGATTGATTCCTGCGTGGGTTTTATATTACTTTAAGTAACAAAACAGTCAAAGATTTCCTGTAGTGACAAGCACTATATGAAAGTAATGCATTCACATCAGTATGCTGGTTTGGCTTATTTTGTGTGATAGACCTCACCCGTGCTCACACAAGGTATTCACACCAAGGTACTTTTCTTGATTAATTGACATTGGGTTAGTCTACGTTTTACTTTGTGCCAGAGAAAGCGAATGCTTCAGGATATTCAGTAGAGCTCACTAATTTCAGATGAAATGTTTATTTTATGTTTGATGATGGAAATAGGGAGGAAAAAATAGGCAATAAGCTCCATCTTTGAGGCATTATAAATGTTGCTATGTTCCAATTTCTGTGTAAATCAGTGTCTGGAAACTGCAAATATACATGAAATAGATGTTAACTATTGCAGTATTAGTGATGAATCACAGGCCTTCCACAAAAAAAAAAAACAAGAAAGAAGAAGAAAGCAGCCTGGTAAAGGGACTGAAGGACGGTCCTCATGGTAGGAAGATGATGAGCCCTGCTCTCACTAGACAGGTCCCAGTGCCCTTATTGCTCCACTCAAATCAACCTGATTTAATGTCAGACTGCGTTAGTGCCTGATCCGGTCCTGCCTTTCCACTCCAGAGGAAGAACAAAAGAAAAACAAACATTGAAACAGCAGATGTTGCGCGGAGCTGAAAAGGCAGCTCTGAAGTTTGACAGCCCCTCGATTTGCTGTTTGAGCAACAGTGACGTTTGCTCTTGCTGCTGCGACACGCTCAAGCTGTCATCCATAAAAGTTGACTCGTTTCCACCAAATATTGGTAAGCAGTTCCCTACTTTAAGTTATKATCAAATTGTCATCAATAAAAGTTGATTTGTTTCCACTGAATATTGGTAAGCAGTTTCCTACTTGAAGTTATTATCAGATTTATTGGTATGGGACTGCACATTTGTCTTTGCCATGACTATGCTGCATAAAGGGAATAATTGAATTGAGACTTAAATGAGCAGTAATTGAAAATCGTGTGGCTTGTCAAAGGAAAATTAGTGCTATGCTAAATTTCCAGCAATCTGCTATGGGTAGGGTTTTTTTCCTTAAAAAGGTAGAATGGGTTTTGCTAAAAAGGTAATTATATAAATATGTACACATTAATGAACATAATTGGAACTGGACTTTAGCCTCTAAAGGATACAAAGGCTCTTCAGTAACTTCATACAGTTTTAAATTTGGCAAAAGCAGTACAGTATCTGTGATAATTAGACTTTCAGCACRTTTGGATATGCTAATTGAATCCAAGTTCTAATTAGTTTTCTTATGTAACTAAGAATGGCAACCCTTGAATTAATTCAGTGTACTTTTATTGCTGAACTTTGCTCCTCTTTCCATATTTTTACTACCAAAAATGKAGACTTTATCAAATGCTCTGCTTTATGGGATGGCAGTAATTTATCATACACTGCGTGCAGTGCAAACACTTCAAAACGTTCTCCACATCTCGCGGCGCTGTTGTACGTAACACACTTGAGCTATTAGTTCAGTCAACTAAGTTGCATAATTTGTCCAAATTATGGATCAGTGTTGCCAGAGGGGTTGGTGAGAAGGTGTTGTGAGCACCTACCAGCTCGAGCCTTGAAGGAGCAGAACGAGGTCTGTTCTGCTTGTTCTTGAGGTCTTTGTGGTCACRTCTGGATGTGAAGTGAGGGAGACAGGTGGTGACTTTTTTTTTTTGTTTGTTTAAAAATGACTATGAGAAGGATAAGTTTTTATCTTCTTTAAGAAGATAAAATAGGAATGTGGTATTTTGTATTTTAGTCTCTATTCTATTGCTAGTTCCAGTGTTTTCTGCTGGAATTATAAATCCAATAGATCCCCAATTTAGTTATTACTTGAAATAAAGGTTATGCTTGGCATTAGCTTTGCTTCACTCCCTGACACTCAGGAACCCCTCAGAAACCCTAATTAACTTGAGAATGGAAAGAGTTCTGAGCACTTACGAAAATGCCACAGAGAGACATGACCACCTTCTGTGGAGAGACTTACCCCAGAAGGATTTTGACCTTTTGAGGCACCATTTTTAAAGAAGTCTTCAGGGAATTGATAGAAATACATTGCAATTAAGTAGTTTAGAAGCTACCCTCCCAGGGGATGTAAGAAATCATTTAAATTACTTTAAGGGGTTAACTTGTTAAATAGTTGAGTGTGTTTACTTGAAGTTTGTTCATTGTCTTATGTCCTGCTTTGAAAGATCTATCAAACTGATATTATTATGTGCAAAGGCCTTTCTCATAAAGGTTCAAAATATCTCCTGAGAAGAGTGTTTTCTTAGTGACCTGGAAGGTGGCATTTGATCTCAGCAAAGGTGCTCCCCTTGCTTGGCAGACCTCTTGAGCCGGCTCAGGYGCTCTGCCGTTTCTCTGGGGCTCTCTACTGCTTTTCATGTTTCACAGTTGCAATTTCTCACAGATTAAAGGTCAGTTCTCTGCAAGAGTCATCTTGGCCCAGACCTCAGAGCTTAGCAGTAACCTAGTGATGTTCATCCTGTTTTTATCAGAAAAAGAGTATTTGTTCATTGAAATGGAGGCAAGAAAGTCACCTGGATTTAGAGACTTCATGTAGGATAAGCTTGGTTTAGGCAGAAAACAGGCCTCCTGCTGCAGATTTCATGTGCAGTCAATGGAGAAGGTGACTCAGAGCAAGAACTGGCACCTGGAGGTGCTTAACTCTTGCCTTCGGTTGTGTAACCGGCTTCTTCATCAGCCGTTAGCTTAAATGCTGCCAGCTGGATTCTGCCTCAGCATCCTGTGAAGTTGGTCATTGCCCTTCTGTTGTGTTTGGGGTATAAAAGTGGCCATTTGAGAGATTAGAAAACTTTTCCAATGAATTCCTAAGATGAAGCTGGTGGTCTTTGTACGTGGTGCTCAGCCAATGAGTGGTTGGTTGGTCTGCTTCTCCGTGCCCAAGGTAAACATCTACCATCAGGTAAGAATGCAGGCAAATAATGTTTTTAGACAAGCATTGCTTACAAAGATTACTAAATTCCAAGGCAATTAATCTTATAGAGAGCCCTGAGGAAAAGCCTCTGGCTGCAGCAGCCTGAGAAATACAACAGGGCCAGCAACAGGGTGTGTGTTGCCTCCGCTCATTTTTCTGCACTACCTTTTGCAGTCCCTTGTTAGCACTTGTGGGGCACCCCCCATCCAGTGCTAATTTCTTCAGTCATCTTGAAATGGGATTTTTAACCTGGCTGAAACTCAGTGCTGTTTAATTATCAACGTGTGCTATAAGTTTTAATTAAAATTAGTGAAACTCCTTTTTCTGAAGTCCCCTTGGGAAAGGTGAGCTGGAGCAGGCAGCGTGCTGAAATGATGTTTGCTGCTGTTTCTCCAATTAGTGTGTTGCAAGAGGTGAGGCATGGCTACAGCCACACTACTTTTTAAATGTTTTTCACTAATGGAGAAGCCTTCCCCAAATGCTTCTGCAGCACTACGTGCTGCCCTCCATTGCACGCTGGTGTTTTAGATGGCAAGCTGATATCCCTCGTTGCTCCATTTGCAATTTAAAGACAAACCTGTGCGCCAGCCCCTCTCTGCCTTTCCATCCCCCTGCTTCCAGAAGGAACTCCCCTTCTTTGATATGCTCCTGCCTAAAGCTATGTGAGGGGAATGACCAGGGAAACGTCATGGGTCTGCTTTTGTTTTTCAGCTCGGCTGCTGGAATCCTGTCACCGGCCTCAAYGGCTCCCTGACGGACAGGAAGCTGGAGAACAACATGCGAGGGGTCGTGCTGCGCGTGGTGACCGTGCTGGTAAGCAGAGGTGCTCACCGGGGTGCCCCGGGAGGGATGTGTTTGCTCCCTTTTGCCCCGTCCTCTTGTCTATGGGTAATTGGAAAGGGTTTTCCTTAAGTACATCGTGTTACAGAGAATGGAGACATAGGCAGAGTATCAAATTCCTGCTCGTCAATACCGGAGCAATGGAGTAATTTCCACAGAATAATATCATTTATCAATAAAGTTCATTCCAGGGTGTGAATTAAACACATTAAAACCTGTTTCTTCTGCAGGCACATATTAAATTAGATAGCACAGCCACAGGAACCGAAAAGGGCAACTTGAAGAGCCCTGTTAGCTCAAGTTCCCTAGCTGAGCCTCTAAATGATGCAGAAGATGTAGCTGCCTTCCAATTACTTTGCCAAATTGAGTGCAGCCTGACACAAATTGCTGCGCTCGGAAAATGTTCAAGATAAGCTTAGGGTGAGTGCTGTTAGTTCAGTAAAATATCTCCTGTCCCCTCTTCTCCCAGACAGTTTCTTCCCCCTTGCATTAAGTGGCTGCCGCAAAGCTCCTTGTAGACAGTCAAAAAAGCAACTTAGGCCAGAGAAGGGTCCCCTTTTGTAACCTGAGGCCGGTGTACTCCCTGTCATCAACCTCCCTTTCTTTCTGCTTGAGCACGGATGGTTGTGGGTGGTGGGCAGAAAGATAAAAGCAGAGACAGGGAGGCACACGGGAGGTGCGAGCCTCTCCGGGCATGGARGTGACCCACGGTTGCAGACCAGTGAGGGTGACGTTGAGCTGCTTGTGCCTTGGCTTGGTGGGGCGGTTGCTTGCTTGTCAAGGCCGGAGGAGAGTCTGTGACCTGCGTTCCTGGTTGTGCCTGGCAAGGGAAGAGGCTCTCTCAGGGATGGAAAGTGAAGTCGCTGGAGTGAGCGTGGCTGCTGCAGATGGGAAGCTGTGGTTRCCCTTGGGTTGTTTGGGGGGTCTGTAAAAGCTCTTATGTGTAAGCTGAYGGTCTCTGCCACCTCTCACTGCACTAGAGCACTTACTGCCAAAATGGATTTAAAGACACCCCAAAGCAGCAACAGAAAAAGGAGGAGGAATGCAGGTAAAGAGACAAAGCAGTATAGYTTTTTCATACTTAGATATTCATTGCATCTTCATTGAAGGAGTATCCAAATGACTGTATCCAGTCTTTGTGCTTTGCCTGATACATGTTTTAATTGATTCAGTAGATCTCTCTGCTAGCAGAAATGCTCTGGGGCTGTTGTCTAGCAAAACCAATTGGAATTCGGGCAGTCTTGGGCAGTTTTTCCTCTCCTCCCACTCTATTCCCCAGTTTCATCCCTAGTTCTCATTTTAGCTAGCTTACCAGACAGTATTCTTGTCTCAAGTTGTCATATTGTGAATATGCAATATCTTCCAAACATTCAAAAGAGCAGTTAAGTATGCTGATGGGATTGTGCACTATGATAGCAGCTCAGGCCTGGCCTGTAGAGCTCGGCATGGGGCACGGGGCTGCCGAGGCTCCCCACATATTCGGGGCAACCTCCCCCATGTCCTGCCTTGTTGGCACCTCCGACCACGACTGGTGCAACCCACAGCTATAAAGTTCACTCTTCTGCGAACTGCTTCGTATTTCATGTATAATGTGCACTAAARGCCATAAAAGAGGAAGATGCAAATGATTTATATTAGCTTTATCACGTAAATGATGAATTGGGGGGTCAGCAGGGCTGCTCGGTGCAGTCTTTGATTCTTGGCAAAAATATTTGTGAACCGCATTACAAACCAAGGTTCACTTAATTTTATGCCCCCAAGATCAGAAGCAAGGGTTTTGTAAGCGTAACGCGGTGAGGCAAATACTTAAAACCATGAACCAGAAATTATGTTTTTTTCCCTAGCAGTTCTCTTGACGGGATTGCAACACGAACGCTCTCCTCCAAAAGCCAGAGATCTGGAGGATGGAGCATCATTTTTCTCCCACATCCGCCAATTCTAACGTGCAAAAGTGAAAGGCAGACAGACGCTRGCAGGAAATCAAGCACCTAACTAAAAGCCTGAAGACAAGTTGGGCAGTGCAGGTGCCAGAAATGCAAAACTGCTCATTTGTAACCCCTGCCAGTTCAGCTAGCTGTCCTTTGGATAGCCACGGATTTTGTTGCATTTTCTGTAGGGAACGCAGCATCGTTTGGGGTGCTTACCCTATAGCAATTCCTCTCACTAGCCTTGCAAAATAGGGATTGTTGATAAAGATATATCATCTTATTTTAGTCCAAGAATTAATGAGTATATTTTGAGCTCAGATCAATTTCTTGCTTTAGGGTAAATGCACGTGGTCATTAGTAATTGCAGCTTGATTCATCTCTTCATTCACACAGCTTAGGACGATGGTGAAACAGTGCTCCTCTACTGGAAAATAAATGAGTAAATGCATACAATATTCAGATATGAGTAAAATCGTATCTAGGATGCAATAACGCTGGAAATGAAGCCAAGTCTTACAAATGGTATTTTAATACTTGTTTTCTCTCATTTCCAAGTTAGGGATTTAATCCCTCTATTATTCCGTTTGTTCCATTTTATTAGAAAAGCTTGGTCAAAAATGATACTGTCTAGCATTAAATTAAGCCCTACTTATTCTGCAAATACTATCAAAGGCAAAATGCTATCTTTATTTTTGTGAAATAGAACAAAAAAATCCAGCTGCAGTTCAGGGCAAAATTTGGTCTCTTTGAAGTAGGTGGAACTGGAATAAAATAGGACTATATTAACGTGCAGAAGTACAGTGCTACCCTTGTGTTACATGTGTCATGCAAATGAGAGGTGCACCTTCAGTGTCAGAGCAGCAGGGATTTTACCCACCAAGCCTATTTAAGGGTCYTTTATTATCCTTTTTAGTCTATATTTGTCCGAGTTCACTTCAGTACTTCATTATTGACAATTAATGACATTAATTTTGCAAGATTCTAGCAGATAGGTGTGATCCAGAAAAGCTGGAAGGCTTATGCTAAAATTAATAGATATATATATAGTTAATATATATATATCATTATAAATAGGTGCTTTTCCACTGTGGTTTGAGAAGCTGCTTTCTGTTACTACTTCTGCCCCCTTGTCTCTTTCTGGGTAGCAGCTCTTCCCTTCCAGTTCCGTTTTGTTTTGCCCTCGCGTGCACAGGGAGCAGTTGGGAACTTGCTGCAGAACTYGCGGCGATGGCAGCTGGTAACGGGCGCTGCGTCGCGCTTGTTACCAAATGAAATGTTTTGCAGCCTGAAAATGATAGAAGATGAAGACTAATTTTCCAATTGTAGTCCCTCAAAAAGCTTCTGCTAAACAATTGCCATCATCTGCATCCATCTATTAGTCCTTTCCTGTAGATCAATTTGTTAATTATGGGCTATGTGTCTGCAGATGCAAAATAACTTTTTGTCTGATGTGCGTGTGACGGAACACAGCGTGTCCCCGAACTGGAGCTCTCTGGTTGCGTTTGGCATCAAACAGTGGCTCATCTAAAGTTAATGAGAATTTGCTTCTTTGCTTGAATAGAGTAAGATACCCCTTTTTTGTGTTTTGTTGTAAAAGGAGCTATAATAACGTGTTTGTGGATGCAGCTTTTTAATCTGTCCTGCTTTAGCAGGGGGCTGTTCTTCCTGCACCTCTCAAAAATGTTTATTTTGTCCTACCCATCAGTTGTCTCTGCCTTGGGCTGTCTCCCCACATTCAGCCCAAGTCTGAGCTTTGTGCTTTGCAGGCTAGTCCTAAGTTCAAGTGAATTGCTCGTGAATTTTGCAAACTGATCCCGAGATGCTGAAATGCAGTCAAAGATGGACTTCATAACACCCAACAAATGCAGAGTGTTCTTGCATGAGTGATGGTGCACAAATGGAGCTGGATAGCTATTTTTCACTATTTCACTTTATTCCCTCTCATTTTYAACCGCTCGCTTTTATTGAAAGGCAGCTAGAATACAGCAGATCCTCTCACAGTGTCGTTTTTAGCAGCAGTGGCAATTAATGAAATATTCATGTGAATGGTAGGCCATAGGCATGGAACGAGACTTGCCCTGTTGGGCAATGAATAAGGCAGCAGGTTTTCACAAAATCATCTTTCTAAAAAAGCCCCTGTTGTTTAAAAACAGGACAAGTTTGAAATTCCATGCTTTAAGGAATTAAGACCGGGCTGCAAAGTACAGAGCCTCTAGTACTTAACTCTCTGAAAGTCAAGCATGGCTTTGCATGGGAGAGGTTGGGGTTGTTGCCCAGGGATGGGCATGTCTTTTCTTAGCAGGATTGCTGGGAAAATGCAGGCAGGATGGAAGAAGGGAAGGCCACAGCAAGCGGTATGTATGGCGTGATGTTGTGTGGTGCACACCAAGGTGTGTGGCTTTTCTTGGTTATTTGGTTATTTATTTTCTTGGTGTGTTACCTGCACAGGACCGGGCGGACTGCAGGCGTTTGGGAAACCCTAGACCCAGGCAGGCACCATTGCAGGGCAGACAAGCATGGTAAAAACAGCCAAAGAAATAAAATAACATAGGAAAACAAAGGTGGATACGATTTTGTCATATATAAAGTAATTGAATTCTTGGTGGTTGGCATCAAATGCACGAGCAAGTACTGCAGGGATGAAGAAAGACTCAAACTTAAAGCAGRCAGTACCTTTTGGGACACAACTGGCAGCTGCTCTGCATTTGCAGTCCTTTTTTCTACTGAACTTACTGCTCAGATAGAGACAAGATCAGAAGTAAGATAGGAAGCTAAGTCCTGGACTTGAAAGCTGGAACTATCTTGAAGATTTGACCTCCAGCACTGGCTTAAACAGAGTAACAAAAGTTCTTTCCAAGCTGGAGCAGATTTCAGAATGGTAGGAAAAATGAAAGGTATAAAAGCGATGGAGAAAGATGCGGTTTAAGCCTACTTAGAGGAACCAGCAGTGATAAAGGATGAAAAAATAATGGCAGGACAAAAGCAGCAGCGAGTGGCTGTAAAATAAAGRGCAAAGACTGTATAGCGGATGCCCTAAGAAATACC